TGTCTGTCTTTCCTGATGATCCTGTTTGAAATTTTCTGCTTTGTTCTTTAACCATTTATTTATCAAAAGTTCAATGCCTTTAAAACTGGTAATGTTCAGGATAGCTCCTGTGGCAGTACCATTTCAGGTTTAAAGAAAAGGGGGAGTCCAACAAACCAGTTCCTTTTCACACTATGGTCCCTGTTTATCCTGTGGGGTGTAGAGGAGGAATGCGTTCCCAATTGTAGATCCCAGCTATGCATATGGGTTGCTAATTTTGCCCACTTGCTATGGTGGTTTAATTGAAGTTTGAGCTGGTCCATGTCATCCATGTCTGCATCCATGTGATACTGTTAGTAGTGTTGTTTTGACACCTTTGCCACTTCATGTAGTCATGGCTTACATGCCAAGAGAAGGAATTTGTTGGTTGGAGATCTCCATGTGTAGACAGAATATGATGGCCTTGAAACTGTCTGAAACCCATGGATGTGGAATTTAGGATTAGGGATCGTATCATTATGGTTTGCCTGGGTTTTCTGAATTTGAAAGACTCTATTTTATAATCCACCTTGGTGCTGTCCCTGTTTTCTTCACAGACTTTTAAAACATTTTGGTTGGGATGAAAACCATACAATTAACACTATGATCTTCCATTTTAAATATTGATTGGTGGAAGATTGGTTGTATCATGGGTCTTCACCCGTAAACCACATCCATTTGTGTTTCTCTCAGGCATATGCAAATATCCACAGGTATTGAAGTCAGAAACCCACCTCACTTTGTTTATATCCTTCCTCTACTGACAATTTTGGAGTCTTGGATCGAATTAGGAAAAAGCATATTAGTTCTTTGGCTAATTATTTTGGTGTTCTTTTACCAAGAGAGCTGCAAGCATCAACTTTCTCACAATATCTTCCACAAAAATGTGGAGAATGTTTATATTAAGAAGATAGATATCGTTGTTAGAGACTCTGCAGTGCAAATGAGACTAATCTGCATAAATAGCATATTTCTCTGCAGCTCATTAGGAGAGTTTACTGTCAGGGCAAAAATGACTACTGACAAATACGAGAAGAACCATGAGACAGGCAGGAGCCAGTTAGAGTCATCTCTAAAAAGTCCTGGTTCTCAACAGAACTTCAAATAGCCTTTTCTAAAGCTGAAGAAGTGTTAGCAGTGCTGTTTGTGTCATTTATGTTCTGCTCCATTGCATCGCCTTTAAATGTAGTGAAGTTATTAAGTTGCTTAGATGGAGAGAGTCTTTTGATTGGTGTTCAGGCATTACACATGAATAGGTTAATGTATATGAACCTCCCAGTTGGAAGTTTCTAACACTAACTTACAGTTTCTGTCAGAGATCAAACTAATTTACTAACATAAATTATTTATACATACGGGTGAAAGAAATTCATAATAACAATAAGGCACCTCCATGAGATAATCACCATAGCAGAAACACTCATCTGTACCTCACAGCCCTGCAGGGGTTTGTAATTATCTCCTGCAAACCACACCTCTAGTGATTGCTTTTTATTGCTTCATTGCAGTTCCGCCACTTGCAGTATTTTGCCTGACAAATATTTTTAAATTTAAAACAAAAAAGATCCAAACATCCCGTACATGCAAAAAAACCACAACAGCTTAGGAATGAAACTGTGGCAGTCATGCATAGAGAAAACGTTTAAATTACAAGAAATACTGAAGAAGTGCAGTTAGTACAGGTTTTAATAACAAGAAAAAAAGTGCTAAGCATGATTCAGTAGGCATTTAAAGAGGTACCTTTGCTTTTTATTCAAATTATTCACTGGAATGAGCCCATCATCTGCTGCTATTTCCCATGGCTTGCTAGTGATCTGTGGAAAACTAGCAGTTTACATGATGCTGGCTTCTTCTCTGTGCTTCCTGCAGCTAAAATTACAATAAAAGAGGCTAGAAATGCTTTAAATGTTCTCATAAAATTACTCTTCTGTGTAGACAATTGCGGTATTTGCACAGAAGCATAACATGATTACAGATAGAGAAAGGCTTACGAGAGGTGATGGTCTCCGTGGCAATAACCGTGTTTGTTAAGTACCTCCTCCAGCCTCTGCTGAAGCACTCAGATCAGAATCAACAATCCTAATACCATTTTATGCTTACTAAACACATTGGTCTCAACACAAGTGCAAAAAAAACCCAGAACAGGAAGAACAATTAGAAGCATGGTGTTGTTTTAAAAGTACCTCACAAAATGTTTAGTCTGTCCCTGAGGTACATTTCTGAGAAATACAATTCTGAGGAATTCCCAAGCTGCTATAACCAAAGCTCTGCCAAGTGAATCTAGAGGCGAGGGCAGAGCCCTTGAATATCTGGTGAATGCAAAGATCCCTGAGATGAGGGACTAAAATGAGCTTTCAAATATACCCTGTTTCAGTCTTATTCAGAGCCTAGTGAATCAGCCATGCTAATCTAAACCAATTCTACCATGTAATAGAATGGTGAAGGCAGAGAAGACTGGGCAGCTGGGTGAGTTGTGATCATGGTAACACAAATTGATGAGCAACTGATTTCTTCCATTTTGAACAAGCTGCAAGTGATCAATCAACTTCACTGTTAGCTTATCCAATATGGACTTCCAGAGCCAAGTGTCAGGGGAACAGGAGTGTGTTCTGCTGTCACTGTGCCATTGCAGGCTCAGTTAGAGCTGAGCAAGAGCTGTGAAGATTGCATGGCTGAAATCCACATTTCCATGATCTATGCTGGGATTTATAACAGTAGATGCAGACAAGGTGAAATAATAAATCCTTAGACTTCCATAGACTTCCATAGAAGTGCAGTCCATGCTGTGAAAGGCATTGTAGTTATTCTAGATAGGAGTTAAAAATGTAGATTTTCTGATACTACGTTCACTTCTTTTGAGCAAGGTCATAACATCATTATAGCCCTCCAGGGCCAGGCAGAGGTCTCTAAGATACTGCTCTCCAACCACGCCCTTTCAGGTCCTAATCTACTTAGCTGTTCCTTCCACAGAAGCTGTGTCATATCTTTGATCCTTCCTGCTGCTTTTCTTAGAATCTTTGCCAATTCTATCCTATCCTTTTTGAGGTGAGGAAGACACCATAACTGCACCAGTTTTCAAGGTAATGGCCTGGGTGCACTCTGACAGCATTTTTATATGTAATATACACATTTAACATCAGAAGTTATTCTGTAGTGTTCTCTCTGAGCATTTCCTGATTACATGTAACTGTGTTTGCTCTGCATGTTTTCTGACCACTGGTGATCACTGAGCTGATGGTTTACAGGGAACTGTCTATTACAATCCCTTGGTCTCCTTCCCAACTTGCACTGATCCATTCAAGGTCTGTCACTTTATAGGGATTGCATTATTCTTGCACTTTCTACATTGTTGTTTGCTTGTTTTGCACTAGAACTACATGATGCTGTTCTTAATATATGCCACTTGTCCATTGTTGGGAACAAGAAAGAATCCCACATAGGATTCCACAACGAAGTCTTCTGAGACAAGCCTACAAACCTTTTGATAAGGGAGAAAGATACAAACTGAAGTATTGCTGGTTATCTGGTATTTATTCTTCAGATTGATATACTGCAAATGCTTATCCAAGACGGGATAAAAACTTCAAGTTAGAAAGGAACATTTTGGTTCCATTTACACAGATGATAAAGTCCTTAAGGCCATGAGCTGTCTTTTCTCTGGGGAATACCTGCTACATCCATGAATAGAAGAGCCAATTGCTCTCAATGTTCCCCCCAGCTTTTTAGGTAGGGTTCTGACTTTGCCTCTTTCCCCTTGGCTCTTCAAACCTGGTAAATTCCATGGTCTTTTTGCATTTGTGGTACAGGGAAAAGATGCATAATTCCTACAAAAAATTACCTAGTGTCTTAACAAAAAGCTTGGATACATCCTCAAAACTTTTCAATAACCAGCCTTCCAATTTATTTTGACAAAAGACCAGAACCAAAGAGATATATCTTCATAGAAATGTACTTTATACTCTACTGCTGGAATAAATTATGGAAACAGACATCTGCCATAAGAACTACTGGCTTTGAAAGGTAAACAGTGATGTCTGAAATGCTTTATTGGTCTGTTCAGTGTAACCTGATTCTTCTTGTCTCAAAAGCAACCTTGTTACCCCTCTAGATATAGCCTTGTGCCTGAAAGGAAGGAGGAAAGCAGCTTGGATCTTCCTAGTGATCATTTCTAAACAGTATTCTCTTTTTCTCTCTCATGTCTGCAAATTTAAATCTGTTATTCCTCCTTTTAAAACAGTCCTGTAATTCTGAACATAATTCAGCCTTTCCTTCTTCCCCAGGACTTCTGGGAAGGTACTAAGCAATTAATTGCAAAAGATTGCATTTGGCAGGATCCCAGATGATAGCCTACAAGGCTGAAGGCAAAACCGAATCATTCCAACCGTTCATCATATGAGGAGGGATGCACCGTGTGCTTTCTTGATCTTTATCTGCCTGTCTTCCTGGTTTTGGATTTTTACCCATCAGATAGGAGACAAGTCCTTTTCATACTGAATGTTTTGTGCTTTGTGTATTTTTTACTTCTTGCTTTTGTGACGAAGTGTGGTAAGAAAGACTCATGTTACTGTTTCATGGAAAACTGCCTAATGGTTGTGTATGCATGTATGTTGATTGATTTCCACTGAAACACAACTTAGGAAAAAAAACCCTAGTCATGACTGGCAAACAGTATTTGTAGGACCCTGATTGTCAGGAGCAAAATTCTGAGCAGTATACCCTAGTTTGCAGCCAGCACTTTTGTCATTTGGCTCCATACAGAATAATTGCTGTGGACTCCAGTTGCTGCAACAGACTTGAGGTTATCAAGGATTTCAGCTGGGCGACTTGTGGCAGATACCTGATATTGTTCCTTTGAATGTTGTGTTTATAGGAGTAGTTTGATATACAATCCTGTTAATTTTCTCTGGGACTTTCCAAATTGCATTTCTAAAAGTTACAAAAAATGATTAAAATATAACACCCCATCTTGTTTGCTTTCACAGCAAGAAAAACTGGGTGATATCTGCTTCTCCCTTCGTTATGTGCCTACTGCTGGCAAACTGACTGTTGTCATTCTGGAGGCAAAGAACCTGAAGAAGATGGATGTTGGTGGACTATCAGGTATGTGTATGAAAATCTGCTTGTAGATTTTGCAGGCTTGTAAGGCAGAAAATCAACTAATTTCCTATTGGAGATCCCTTGGTTGAGAAGGTAGGTGCTCTTGTTTGCTGTCTGGAAAATGCAGTTCATGTTTTCTGAAAGTTAGGGCATGACTGAGTACATCAAAGCTCATTCTAGCTTTAAAAAATGGAGTTTGATTTTATGTTGCGTTCCACTCCAAGACAAGGTCTGAAGAGTTAACAGATGACAGTGCAAGCTCTCTGTACTTTCCTTCTCTCCTGTTGCCTGGAGATAAATACAGACTATTCAGGTAAGAGGAAAAAAAATATCTGACTACAATTCCTATTGTCTGTTTAATCTCACAAAGCATGAACATTTCCCTGCAATGTTACTGATAATACATAATAGAGGAGCTCGCTACAGGTCACCATGCTGACTGCTGGTTGAGGTGCTAGGATTAATTGTTTCTGCATTTGAAGGACTCAGGTGTGATTGCTCCTATGTGAAGGTACACTAGCAATCAAAATGACCATCTCACACTTGTGGTAGTCAGTGAAGTTGATATCTCCAACATGCTCAGCACATGCTAGTCCTTCTAGTCTTTCCTCATAGTAAGGCTGTACACACTGTGAGAGAGATGATGTGTCATCACTGAGGAAGAGTGCAGTCAGCACACCGGGTGTCAGGGCTGCATCTCTATGGTAGGGCTGTGTCCCAGGCACCTGATGGAGCCTCTGTGTAGGCTTCTGTTGTCCACTGTGTCTGGAATTTGGACACAGATTGCTGTCTAAATTGCCAATTAGCTGAGACCAAATTAAATAACAAGATGCTTTATAAGGAGAGGTCTTTCCAGAATAATTTTATTTTATATCTTCTGTTTAAAAGAGAGAGTTTCTACCAACTGTTGAGAATGAGGATATTTCCAGTGTAGCTCTAAAACTGAAGACTTTTACAAGATTATGTAATTGCCAATTTTGCATTAGACAATAAAAAATGCTTAATTTTCTTATAATCTTGCCACAATGGAAGAGTTATATCCAAAAGCAAGCCTGAAGGTTTTATTTACCACTTTTAATTAACAATAACAGGAGGACCTTTCCAAAGTGCAGGGAAACTAAGCCTTTTACCAGTTACTGGTTACCTTTTTTATTATTTTTTTTACTTGCTTCTAAAGTCTTTGCAGAGCAACAGACAATAAATTAGAAGACATCAAAATATTGTTGTAGTCATTACCTCAGTCAATCCAACTTTTTCTTGTCTAAAATGGGCACTGGACTGGGACACACCACTAAGACTTTTCCTTATGCTTGTACTTAACCAATAACGAATTAATGTTCTTAGGCACATTTACTTCCTGATTGTTTCCTAAAGAATCATTAGATTCTCATTAGATTCCCCGTTTTTGAATGAAGTGTAGCTCTAAAAGCCAGAGCATCTATATTCTTTTCTAAGCTTTGTGAGAAATATGATGGATAATGGCTACTCAGCTCCTAAGGAAAGAAAGGGACAGGGGAAACACTATTCAACTGAAGACCTACAAACTTCAGGTGGACAGTACAATGCCTTGAGTTGGAAATAACTGCAAGGAAATGAATGGGCTTACTGTTTTCTACATGCTGCAGCACATAGGGGACATTTAAATATATTTCTAGGGGATGACAGGTTTTGTTCTCCTTTCTTAGGCACATGCCAAACTGGAAACATCATGTTCTCTCCAAGACAAACAAACCCAATAGGATACCATGGTTGTAGCAGGAATTCAGAAGTCACTGACAGTGATAAATGGCAGTTAGTATGGTATTCCTGAGGCAGTAATTACAGATGAAATAATGTTGGTTTAAAGTGGATCCAGTATCTTTTATTAGGAATTGATCTTTTGAATAAATTATGCAGAAATAACTTTTGAAATCAAGCTGAGATTCTGTTGTCATTATTCACTCTAAATAATACCAACTCTCCGAGTGTGGAACCGCTAATGGAAATGAAGGTGGCAGGATTTCCTCTCGGTTAGCAAACACTTTCCCCACTAGTTCTGCTGTTTTCTCTGGATACTGAAATGGCTTCTTGTTTTGCAAAACTGAAAGTTTTGAGTTGCAGTAGAGGTGGGAAAATGTTGACAATCAGAAGTTATCTCAAACTGAATGCTACCCATATACTCAACAGCACTTACTGTCACTGTGGGAAAGCCATTAGCAAGAGGTGAAAATTATGTAGTTGATGCAGACACGGGGAAAAAAAATCTAAGAAGTTTGTCAAAAATAGGAAAAAAGTACCTGTTTTTTTTTAGTTTAGAATGTGCATTTTTTGTTTTTTTCCCTTTTATTTTGGAGAAGGTGCTGGAAAAACAGAGGAGAGACACTTGGAAAAGGCTCTGCTTTCTCTTGCATCCATCCTTTATGCCTCTCTGTGGAGTTTACCTGCCTTGCAAAAAGGAGGAGCAAGGCCCTGGCTCCTGCAGAAGGTCTGGCACAGCACTGCCAAGCATCCACAGCAGTGGGCAACCTTGCAGTTTCCTTCTGGCTGCTTCCCTCCACATCTTGAGTGTTACTGCTGCTAGTAAATATCTGCTATACCTTTGCACATCAGAGATGCAGAAGGCTTTAGTGTTTATGTTATCTTTAGTCCTAATACAAGGAACCAGTCACTGTGGCCTAGTAGTCTTCTGAACTTTTTCTTAGAAATTCATTAAATCCGTAATTGTGGTCAATCAGACTTAAATACATGCTTAATTTTTAACATGTATATTCAAGTTGTGCAGATAGAGAGCCCAGTTACAAAAGTACCTATCAAAAGCAAGGGACTGATCAAAGTAGATTGAGACTGTTACCTTCCATAGCACTTTACAGGCCTTCTACTGCTGAAACCTTAATTCTGCTTATATATCCAATTTAATGGTTACTATAGTTGCAAAGAAAAAAAACCTTTATCTCCAGCATTTTGCACTTTTTCATAAATTTTATTAGCATTCAAAAGCCAAGCACAAATTACTTTGGAAATAGACAATAAAAGACAACAAAGTAATCATCAAATTCATTAGACTCCTTGTAACAAAACCAGATCACCCATCTGAGCAATAAACTCCCAGGTCTTAAACTTAATTGCAACATCAGGCTGTGACTAAAGCAAACATTGGCTCAGACACTGGAACTGTTAAGCCTGAGCTCATCAAGTCACCACAAAATGTGGAAATTATTAATTCTGGAGAGCCAGGACCTCTGGCAAACAATTATCCATGTTTTAAAATGACATTTTAATTATTTAAATTATAGTCAAATGCATTTTTAATGAATCTGACATCTGGCAGGTGATATTTAGCAATGTAAGCTGTAAAGAAATTCTATTTATTTGTCTGAATTTGGTAAACTTGGGTTACATGGCTTTATAGGTACCCTTCACCCAAAATGTCTAAGAGACTTAGAAGTTCAGGGTCCTACAGCAAATCAAGGGAACTTAGACTCCCAAATCACTGCATTGTGTTTGTTTTGTTGTGTCTTTTTAAAAAAATAATTCATTTAGATTATTTGCAAAATTGGAAGATTTCAAAAGCAGTTTGCAGTTTAATTTTTTCAAAGAGGCCACAGAGACATAATCTAGCTACTTCCTTCATAAGGGCACAATGCAGCTCAGCAGTGCCATTCCGTTCAGAAGGGTTTTCTATGAATTATGATACTTTAATCAGGTTTAGTGTCCCTTCTCCAGAAAGAGGGCAGGAATTATCTGCAGCTCCCTTATGAGTTATTCATTTAAATCAAAGTGATAGTGATTTCATATATGGATTTAAATGAGTGTGAACATTTTATGTCAATCAATTTTAATCTTGTTTTGTATTTGTAGTTTTAGTTATTTTCTGAAGAAAAAATGGTTGTTTAACCCTCAGAACATCTGACTAGCTGCTAAACATGGTTTGTTCAATAAATATGGTGGTTCTTTTTATTATGTAGGAAGATTCCCAGTATTAATGCACATTTATGCAGGCAGTTCTATAGATTTCCATTTATTTAGTCATTTAGTCATTTGTATGCAGTTTTGTTCCTAACATTAAGTAAATGCTTTCGTTTCAACTTCCAGCAGCTTTCCCTGCTTTGACTAAGCCAATCATTGAAGTAAATTACCTGAATACATTGAAAAGCATTTCCCTCTGAACCTCGAAAAGAGACTGGATCTGGCACCTGGACAGACTGTTGCTATGGGTGTTTAGCTACTCAGACCCTTTGGGTCTTTAATGCCTTTTTTAAGAACTACAGTGGCTGTAGGTATTACTGGCAAAATACTATTTTATGTCAAAAAATCATCTCTTAATAGCTGATAATAAGTGTTAGTCTTAACTTAGTTTATCATCACTTCAGGATGAATCTCAGTATGTTTTATTCCTTCTAAAATTCTTTGAAAGCTAATGTGGTTTTTGTTCTCTTTGTATTATCTAGGTATGATTTGCTTGTATTCTATCTAATTACCAGGAAGATATCCTAGTAGCAAGCAGTGTACCCTTATCTCCCCAGCACTGCTGACTCTCTTCACTGCCCCTACTCAGACCTCAAGTTTCAGTGAAGGGGAGATGCCCTAGCTGGCAGGAACTCAGGAATCACCTTAGGAACTGTTGCCAAGCAGCAAATATTATAGCAGACCCTAAACTGTACCTATTTATGCTGAATTAATGCTTAGGAAGAACTGCAAGGAGAAAAGAATTTTGATTGGATCCACGTGCTCTTCCTTCAGCAGAAAGCTGCAGATACAGTTATGAAAGAGAAAGTGGCCTGTAATCCCAGCCATTATGTGGGAAAGCTAATCTCAATATTTATGAGTTATAAAGGGAAAATACACAGCACCTCTGTATCTGCCAAGCAAATACTATAAATCAGAACCATCTCTGGGGACCAAATGGAACTACAGCAGAAATAAAGCTAGTTTTCTACAATCAGACATGTATTTTAAGTACAGCATTCACATTCAAAAGGCTTGGTTGGATGTCTTAGAACAGAATTGAATAATTAAAAATTGTT